GAGAAACAGGTACAATGAAAGTCTTACAGTAACATTTTAATCTACCCTTATTTCTAAAGAAAAAACAAGACAAAATATATTTATACAACAAATAAAAATAAGTCTAAATTCTTATGACAAAATCTCATAATATTTTTTTATTAAATACATTTAATAAAAATAAAATTAAAAATTACAACATATCAAAAAATCTAAACCAAAAAAACGCATTTGTACAACTATTAAAATAGTATGAGAAACGCTACTTTTTGTATAAATTATAAACTATATTTGTTTAGGAATAATTGTCAGTTTCCCTGGCAGAATACTCCTTTAAAGAGATGCTAATAATTCTCACTACACTTGTATTATAATACCGCTAAACAAAAAAATCACCATAAAACTACACCTACGCAGTAGTTACATGGAATAACATTGGAAAAGTTTTGACGACAAAGGTTTATGTCCGATCCCTTCTTTTTTCCATAATTCATGGGTTATTCCTTAAGGAATAGACAGTTTGATGTCGACGAGATCACAGGCAAAAGTTGGAAAACCTCGGGGAATACCTCTCAGGCCAATATAAGGGATCTATCTCTTGTTATTTATATACACGGTGGACTCAAACTCGCGTTGTGTAAAAGCATTATGATGTGATTGCAGTTTTACTGTCTTTGTAAAAACAGACTACTCCACACAACACAAAGATATTTAATTTTCCTCTTTGTTTATACTTATTAGTGTATTTTTCATAACTTCATGCAACAGAATACATTTTAAATACAAATTGTATTGTATAACTTTATAAACAACTCATTACACTAAAACAAAACAATGAATTACTCGTAGCGTATGGCGAAACCCAATGTATATAATTTTGTTTTTAAAACTTATATGTATATGTACAACGGGAATTTTATGAACTTAATTAACAATTTTTAATAATTATCATAAACGACAAACATTAGTAATTTATTTGATTAGAATTATTTGATTTCGCTACCATTAGTATGTGTGCGCCTGCCAACGCTCGACCTTCCATGTTAACCATCAATCTCCGACTGCCATTATGTTCACACACGTTTTGCAATAAATTAAGCATCTTCAGACAAATTAATAGATCGTAGCACAGTGTATATATATACGATGATGTAATTAACTAATTCGGAACACAAGTTTTAATAAATCTCCACTTATTTACCTCTTGCCACATCGATGAAATAGCAAACACTATGCGTATATTGGTGAATTTAGTGATATAGTAATTTATTACACTGCATTACTTTCTGCATTTGCTAATACGGTATCCTTACGATACAAATAGTTTTATTTGTGCATATAAAATTCCATGTAGTCCCGGCAGAGAATAAGCGATCCCTCCCTTTGCCCTGGATATCGTAAGAGGCGATTAAAAAATATAATAGCTAAGGGATGGGCAGCAGCGTCCCTCTTAAAACACCACCAAAGCCTAACTGCGGTTGCCAACTCGACTGTCGAGCATGGCAAAAACTATAATAATAATAATAATAATAATAATTTATTTGGAACAAAAACATTGGTTACAATATTATTGAAAAACGATGATATCCGCAGAAGTATAAAACTGTGTCGCGAATATCAACGCCCTCCTCCTTATAGCAGGATTCCAAAATAGACAAAACGTATAGTAGTTATTACATCAACGAAGATAATTGTTTGTATCTAGCAACTAACCAACCACAATACTAAATAATAACTATAAACTACAATAAATAAAATAAAAAAGTAAAAATTTAAAAAACAGTAGCCTACATGTTAACTTAAAAAATAAATAATAATAATGTGTGTGTATACGTGTGCGTGTGCGTGAGCGTGTGCATGTACGTGTGTGTGTATATGTGTGATAATTTAACATAAAATGCACGTAATTAGTACTATAATAACTACTTGAACCCATATCTATGGTATCCTTACTGTCAACGCGTATCACTTATTCAAAACTTTTATTACACAAGAAAAACAATGAGAGTTCGGTTTGAGTTTCTTTTCGCCTCAAGCGTAAATAAATCTTGCAGGATACAAGAGAGATGTCGCGTGCACTGCTAACTGAAAATCAACATTGCCAACGACCCCTTGTTTGTCCATTAGCCACCCACGAACTGTTCAAATATAGAAAAATATAGAAAAAGAATGCCCGAAGATACAGCGTCTTGATTCGTGGTATACAATGCTATTTTTATTTGGTTAGATATTTTTTTTTTATCCAACTACGCAACGTCAAAAATAGGATTATATGTTTCAAAGATAATACTGATAATATTATTAATAAAAAATTGATTATTTGTTAAAAAAAATCTTTCACCTATAAAAAACTACATCAGCGATTAACATAAGCTAAGTATATATTATTTTAAAAAATTTTAGCTACCCGTGTGAATCCGGGCCTGATTCATCATATCAGCCTTTAACCGTCCACTACTGAATATAAGCCACCCCCTTGGGAGGTTTGCCAGTAGTTGCCACTCTTGGCAGGCGATTGGCAAACGCAGTTAGACTTTAGAGGCATTTTAAGAGGAACGTTGCTGCCCATCCCTCGCCCTCCCTTAGTCACTTCTTATGACACCCACGGTAAAAGAAGGGGTGGCTCATTCTATACCGAGACCATACGGGTCTGATCACTAATATATACGTATAACTATAATGAAAATATAACAAGTATTTTCTAATACAAAAAAAAGGTTGAGAAGTCAAACAAGGAGTGTTTAAGTTCTATCATCGAAACTTAACATTTTCACTATAGACCCAAAGCTATTAAAACGATAAAAAAATCTAGTACGCTCTAGAAATATTTACAGATTTCAGCAATTCCTTTTTTATATAAAAAACTTTTACGAAAATCGAATAAATATATATTTAGAATTTAAAGTACAAAAATTATACTCCCATTATTTTACTTCTTTTTAACCCCCGTTGTAAAAAGGCGTGTTATAAGTTTAAAGTATCTGTGTGTTTGTGCGTTAGTTTGTAACGTCGTGGCTCCTAAACTAATGGACCGATTATGATGAAGTTTTGTGTTTAAAAGCTAACATGACCTAGATTGTACATAACCCCAATTTATGAAGATCTTTCCAGGAATTTCATAGGTAACTAATTTCAGTTACTGGAATCACCGTTACGTTCCTGTCTTATGTCTAATCGCGGGACCTTTCAATAATAAAAACGAGTATTTAACCTTTTTTGACGAAAGTAAATATCTGGATTTAATATATCCGATTTGGAAATTATTTTCTTAGTATTTAGCAATAATTTCTTAATATTTACAACGGTGAAATGTGAAAATGTGAATGGTCTAAAATGTGAATCATTATCTAAAAAAATATTAAATGAAAAGAAACTAAATAACTTTAATATTTACTACATATTTCCTGCGGTTTCACTCATGTGCAAAAGTAAAAACTATCGTTTGTATTTAATTAGGATGTAATCTACCCGTGTACTAAATACCAATCAAATCCTGTTAGGCGTTTAAGTGCGATTGACTGACAAACATTCAACAAAATTGATAAACTTTCACACTCTCGTATAATATTCATAGAATTTTATTCATAGATTAAGAATAATATTTATTTTATTTTACCTTTTTTCGACTGCTTTTTATAAAGGTGCTGTCAATTACTCATGTCATTATATTTGTCAATTATTTTCAATCTATTATTTATTTACGTCAAATTGACTTCTTTATGTTTTGATTTGTCTTTATAATTTAATATTTGCGTTTATATTTTTGTTAAGATTTTATTTTAATAATTTAATTGTTTTATTTATTTTTGTGTTGCAATAAAATATTTCAAGTTATACGTAAGGTAAGTGATACCTATACAAAAACATACTTAAACTTGGTCTCTCATTTTTTCATTTGGTATGATATAAAAATTATCATTTTAATTTTAAAATTTATTAACGTTCTAAAAATTATTTTTTAATCAAATCTCTATTATTCCCTTTCTAACTGACTTTCAAAAGAAAGTTCCCAATACAGTCGTATTTTTTTATGTTCTTTGCCTCATATTTCCATCAGTTATAAACAGATTTTAAATTTCTTTTTTATCTATATGATGTATGTGGGTACACCTAGATTTTTATAATAATTATATTTGTAAACAAAAACAGTTTTTGTCCACAAATAGAAGTGATCCGCTCCAGGTGTTTTTTATTTCTCTCCGTCATATTAATACCTTGAGGCGATAAATAACTATCAAATAGCAAAATCTGAAAGGATATACTTATACATTGGCCCCGTAGGTATTTTATCAAAATCGGTTTAGAAATTTAATTTAAAAATTAAAGTAACTGAATTTGCCATATTTATAATCAGATCTTTTTTGTAAAACACAATTATAATTAGGGCATCAGCATCCTTCTTAAAACATCACAAAAGTCTAAGTAACGGTTGCAAACCTGCTAGCCAAGCGTGGGAACTACTGACAAAATCTCCCCTTATGGGAGAGACTTATTTTCAACAGTGGATAGTTAACGGTCAGCCGTTATTGATTAATGATATCAGTATCATCGTCATCATCAATCTTAATTATATTAATAACTAGCGATCCGAACCGGCTTCGCATTAGTAGACAGAATTTTCGGAAACCAATACATATAATAAAAAAATATATTTTTCAGTCAATTCAGCTAATTGGTTATTTTATAGCATTTTATATGTGACTCTTTAGATTGATGCAACTTATTTATTTATGAACCGATTGAAATAAAATATACACTAAATGTTAAGTGAAGCAAACCGCAATGCATTAGTGGAAACCGCATTCAAATCGGTTAAGCTGTGTTTGAAATTAGCGTGCACAAACTTACAGACAAAAAGACAAAAATTCTAAAAATAATTGTTTTGGGTTCTATTGCTTTCATAAAGCCTAGCATAATAATCATTAATAAATATCTTTCATGTACAGACAGCAACCAGTTACGGTTTTATTATATGTATTGATTTAAACATTTAGGGAATGGTATTTTTTTTCTTTCAGAAAATGACTGTAATGCATCGGCAGAACACATTGTTTTTGGGTCACGAGAATGTGATCCTTAAAGAGAAAAAGGAGAAGCCATACAGACTTACTCCATTTATTATTACATTTTGTAAGTATAATACCTAACAGACACAGTCAAAATATTGTCGACTACACTATGCAATATACGATATGTTATGCGTTAACGACGTCCCGTGTCCAATTCCCGATGGGGCCAATTTAGGAACGAACTTTTTTTTATACTACTTTGGTGGCAAACAAGCATACGCCCCGTCTGGTAGTAAACGGGGTCACCGTAGCCAATGGACGTCTGTAACACCAGGGATATCACGCGCGCATTAACGACCCTAAAGAAACTTTAATACACCATTTTAAAGAATGGGATTAAAGTTTCTGTAGTCTCTAGAGAAAGCCTTGGCAGGATGATCATTCCGCAACCTGAGTGATCGAGGAAGGAAGCTCCTCCGAACCCTCATTGTGCGTAATATGAATGCGTTCTAGTTCTAGAGTGTGAGGATTAATTTCACTGATGGCAAGCAATGTGATGGTGAAAAGCTGTAGGCGTCATATCGAGGAGTTCTTCAGAACACAGTCATATATACAGGCGGATAACTTTTCTAAATTGGCTCTATTTTGAGTGTTATTGGTTGTGCTCTTGCCCCAAATTCTGTATTGCTATTAATATATCGCAATGCTATCTTCACACCAAGATGTACCTTGTGGGGTAACCAGAAAGAACCAAGTGCGAAAGACCTCTATATTTACATATAATTATTGCTTCCTACAGTTTCATATCTCATCCCATGTTGTATGCATTCTGAATTCGAAAACTATATATAGTACGATTCATCTCATCATAATAAGTGAATCTAAGTATTGCTCAGTACCTACAGCCATCCATATTGGCATCGTATATGTATTTTATCAACCTATCATCTGCCATTCTTTTCATAGTAAAAAAAATATATTTTAAACTGGTGTAAAAAAGGCGTTTATATAATAAAATTATCTATTCCTAGGCGAAGATACTCTGACTTCAATCGACATCCAAAACTTCATAGAAATGGGTCTCCGAATAATAAGATTCAAAATGACGCATGTAACAAGAAATGACAAACTAAAATTAATAACTATGTTAAACAATGCTGTGAAATTGTGTTGCGAAAAATATGAAGTCTCCAATTGGCCAATAGCCATTTCTATCGATATACCTAATGCTTGTATCAGAACTGGATTTCTGAAAGATGTAAATATTTATTTATTTATTGAAATAATTATTAACATTATGATGGTAAAAACCAAATCAATGTATATATAAACCTACTGCTTACGTATAAAATTATATTAATAGTATTTAATCCGACTCCAGTTATTTCGAAGCCGCTTCCAATGTCTACTACTACAAAGGCAGGCTATTACAAAAACATCAATTATGCTTATAGTATTATTTAATATTTAAGTTGCACTGTCAATTAAATTTTCTGTTATTCCTGTCAACGGTTGACTGGTAGATAATCTATCTAGGTGTATTATAGTTTAAGTAGCTTTTATCCGCGACTTTGTCCACTTTTTTTTTCTTTTTATACAACTTAGAATGGCAAACAAGCTGACGGCCCACCTGATGGAAAGTGGTAACCGTCGCCTATAGACATGAGCAGTACCATGGACATAACAGAGTATACTGTTTCGCCCATGATACCCCCATGCGTTGCCATTCCTGAGGACTCAGGTGTTACTCCTCTGTACCCCGTAATGCCCATGCAAACAAAACTGCTTCAGGGTAGAAACACGAATGGGACAGAGGTACCCAAACATACAACTTTTGTACAAAGTCTCCCTCTGGTAACAATATTCTCACTGACCGGAATTAAAAGTTGCCTATAATCTCCATTGCACATAGTGCGTGTAATTTCAGTTAGTTAAGTCGTTATATGCTAAGAGGTAATAAACACACTTTCGCATTTATAATATTAGTGAAAACTTTATTATATTGCTTCAATTATGTGCATCAAGTTCATAATAATAAGGTCCAAAATCAAGTAACTTATAAAATTATGCATAGACTTTATACAAAGAAAGCAAAAGAAAATGTGATAAATGACATTTTTTGTAAAAGAAAATGAGGGAATTTATACTGAATTATATTTGTAAGTCACCCCAATGCTTTGTATTTTTGTCCCAGTCCGACGAATTTAAAAAAAAATCTAAACAAACTCGGATCATTATATACTATGTTTATTGTATATTGTGGGCAAATAACTGCATGATATGTTAAGTTTATTTACAATTACTTACAGTTTATCTATAATTACTTTATGTACTAAATGTCCTGAACTTATTGTTTGTAATATTGAACTATGATATCATCAGTAAAATTTTAAGAGTACTTATGTCTTTTTTACAGTTTTCATGTTCTAATTTCCGAATCACCTAATCAAAAATCTCGTATTTAAATAACTGACCTATATTAAATCCAGTTGTTTTAAAAGTAATACGTTTGAAACAAAAATAGATACATTATTCAGTTTTGTGTTTTTTTACTCTCTTGTAAAGTGCCAAATTTTGGCTTGCGTAATATTATAACTTCACTAACGATATTTTGTTGTTAAGCCACGTTTTTACCTTCTCTTAATATTTTTAGATAATAATGCAACTTAAATATATGCTACTAAATTAGATTAATTGACTAAACATCAAAGTAAGAATCTATCCTAGAGAGCTATGAATTTCCAGACCCAAGATTATTTAGATAGGTAGATTTTCTAACTCATATTTTATATTTGTTCAATTGAAATTCAACCCTGTATCTTTTACATAAAGTAACTTACACTACTACGAGCACATCGTAAAGGTCGATAAATAAAACCACGTATCCATTTTTCACTTAATTTCTTAGTTTGATCTGTACAAATAAAAGAAATTAATAATTGAAAGTGCTCCATAAAAAAGTCTTAACTCCCAAGAGTGCTAACTTTTTTGAGAACCCTTATGAACTTTCCAGGAAATAAAAGAACCACAAATATACCTCAGTGAACAGTCAATAGTAGAATTGACAAGTGAAGTCCAATATTGGAACCAATGTGACGAGCATCGAGTATTTATAGACGATCCATACACTCTGAAGTTAGTCAAACCAGGCACAGAAGTGTCACTATGTTTTGGAGAAATCGTTATGTTTTGTACCGAAGTAATTTCGCCGAAGACTGTGATGTGTAAAGTCGAAAGAGGAGGGTACTTGGGAAACGTCAGATTCGTTTGTGTCCGTGGTGTTATACACAAAAGACCTCCGCTGACAAAGAAGGACGTTGAACTTCTGCAGTTTGCAAAGGAATTTGAAGTATGTCACGTAAATTACCATTCAAAATATAAAAACATGAAATGTAAATCAGAAAAAGTCAGTGACTGAAAAGATGTCTCTGGCTCATCTGTTAATTCTTCTGCCACTACAGATTTGGTATCGGGTACTTCGACTCGACTATTTTCTTATCACACAGATTAACAATACACGAATGATATTTCTGGTGTTTAAAACATTCATAGCTATGAGTATGTATATATCACCACATATCACTTGACTCTCTATCACGTTGTATATAATAATAAAAAAAATCAACTCATAAAGTCTTTAATTTTTCTTCTTGCTATTTTCATGTACTGTATTGATATGTTTTAGGCGGACATAGTGACCATACATTCAATTCGTTACCCAGATACGATAAAGAAGATACGCAACTATTTTAACGGCACTCGTGTTCCTTTAATAATAAGCACAATTTGTGAACAAGAAGGTTTGAATAATATCGATGCTATAATTGAGGTATGTGAAGTGTCGTATGAAGGAGTGGATAATATACAACAATATCTATATATTTTAGTTACAATATCTATATACTGTGCCAACAACTGTGTCTGTCTGTTATCCGATATTTAATGTCGAAACCTGATCGAAATTAATATAATACCCAATCGAATTTAATATCGATATCCGACCTGTACAAGCGATATTGGAACGAAAAATGACCTTTTTTCCACCATCAATATCCAAAAGAACCTAATATATAGATATTGGAGCGATACCAATATTATCAATATCTAATCGTATCTTAGTAATCTATTTATAAAGCCATAGGTAAAATGCAACAACAAATTACGGTGCAAATATACTTTTATCATATACATCTATGACTGTCTATCCATATATATCACAGTATGAAGTAGTAACATTTATATCACTGCACTTATTGAGTTAATGAGTTGTCTATCATATCTGTTATATCTTTATATATATTTTTTTAATATCTAAGTTTATATTTATTTATCGTTAATTATTAGTTATTATACAATTGAAATAGTATATATTTTCTAACCAAACTCATTAATTCATCCCGCGAGTGTGACACAAATTTTACTAACTAAACTAAACTAACTAACTAACTAAATGTCTTTACAAAATGATAGTTATAAATTAATCTAACCAGGAAATATTTACATAGTATAAAAGATAGTGCAGATTTGCACTACGCAAATCCGTTTTCAATTTTAAAGTTTTCCAATTTTAATAATGTTTCGGTTTGAAAACTTCAATATGCTTGGCCTATCCTATCTAGGCTACTCGTTCAATTTAATATGAATGCAATTATTAAATATTTATTTCAGAATTCAGACGGCGTCATTTTAGCAAGGGAATTCCTCGCACATGAAATAGTCGACAAACACAAAATGACTGCTATACAATTAATTGTTAATGCTAAATGTAGAAAGGTATGTTACTTAATTGTAACTATGGTTTTTTTTTTAGTTGGATGTGCATTTGTTCAGACATCCCGTCCTCGCTATTTGATACAGGTGGCGGGATGCCTGCTCTATTTAGGCACATTGAGTATATATATTTAGGGATAGAGTTTTTTTTTTTTTAATGGATAGTAATGAAGTAGGTAGCCCCGCCTACGCTAACGGTATACGCACCAGTGAAGGATGATAGGTGAGAACGAAAGGGCAGGTCAGGTAACGCACTGTGATAGTTACACTTAGAATACAGCACGATGGATTCCAAAAGCGACCATGTAGAAGTCGACCTGGCGGGCTATATTGCTGACAATGGAACTGATAGTCTACATTTCAAAGAAACCTATCCCCTACATCTTGAATGTAGAGAGCAAGTTAGGAGATATATAGTAAGTAATATAGACGACAAGATTTCTACTCGATCGAAGCCATCGATTGGATTACCGCAATCATCTTCCAGTCGTCTGTGCCTGCATAACTGTGTTTCTATTTGAAGAATGAGATAGGCAGTGAAATTGTTAGATACGGAGGTACAACACAGTAGACTTCAGCAATGCATGAAGGGTACCATGGACTTTATAGCGTATTCGGTGATAACCATAGTGTTTTTTATGTCTACAATCGAAGATTACTATTTTCCATCAGGTGAGCCATCAAATTACTTTAAAAAAAAACAAAGAAAAAATACATTTCCCTAAAATTTCCTTGAAACAATTACTTTCTGCAATAAACTCTTTGGAATCAACTTCCAGCAGCAGTATTTTCGAACTGATGCGGCAACATAACCTTCAAGAAAAGAGCATATTTCTTTTTAAAAGGCCGGCAGCACACCTGCAATGCCGTAAGTGTTGTGGGTGATCATGGGCGGTCGTAGTCACTTACCATCAGGTGAGCCGCATGCTCGTTTGCCCCCTGTGTTGTAAAAAAACCGCGTCTTTTTTACTCACACATTTTTTTAGTTTGAATATAGTACAAGTAAAGTATCATCTCAATATAAAATACTTAATCACACGAGCAAAGACACGTGTTTCAATTTACACATTTAAGGAACACATTTTTTGTTCGTTTTAGGGAGGGAAACCTTTATATATATCTGGGAATATTCTGGAAGAAACTCTACAAAATGGTTTACTGGCCAATACTGATATAGCTGATATTACAAATATAGTTTTACAAGGGTGCGGATTCGTTCTCCGTGCATATACCGACGCCAGTTATGTATTAACAGCAATGAGAATATTGGACTCTATATGTAAATCCGTAGAGTCTATTTCACCGAAAGACGACTTCTGGAGAATGTCCATGGAGGTTATAAATAAATAGCCTTTAATATAATCGTTATTACATATTTTATGCTTAAACAATGACAACCGTAGATGTAGTAAAATGTACTCACGTAGTTATAAACTGTAATGCAATAACGATACGACATCAAAAAATTATACTAGTGTGTACACATACACTAGTATAAGTTTTTGACCTAAATCTAAATGTAAGCAACATAGGTATAACATTTCTTCAATTAAAAAAAATTAAAGTGATCGGTCGCTAAACAAAATTGAACACAAAATACTAGATGGCGTTAGTATCGAGATTTGTGGTTTTTGATCATTATTTTATAATTAAAAATAATTTGAGGCAAAATTTCTAAATTGACGAGTGTTTTTATTTATTTTTTACCTATTATTATTTTATCACAATTATTATTTATTAATTTATCACAATTTTTATCTTTATAATCTTGTATTGTACAACTTTGAGAAAATATATACTACGAGAAACGTTGTGATTGTGTGTGTTATAATTTATTGAGGAAAAGATCGCCTATTGTCTATGTGTTCGCAATTATACATAGGAATAAAAACTACTCGCCAATTTAGGTACTACACTTAGGCTACACTTGCCATCAGATGGGTCCTTTGCTTGTTTGCCACTTCAGTAGCATAAAAAAACATACGACTACATTTCATCCTTATCAATCAAAATTTTATTCCGATCACACAAAGTTACAAATAAGAATTAGTATATAAATATAGTATATTATTTCCAGTTTAAAACACCCGTGAACGCAGCTGAAGCCTGCATACTCTCATGCGCTCTGCTCGTCAAACAGTCTGAAAGTCAGGTCGTGATTCTGCCTACTGTAACTGGAAGAACTGCCATACAACTCGCCCATATAGCTCCTGAAGCTATAATATTAACGTTAAGTTCTAATCCTATCGTTGCTAGGAAACTGCAACTTTATAGAGGAATCATTCCTATAATATATTCTAGTGAGTACATAGTTGTTTTATATTGATATCCTACTAGCAATCCGACGACTTCACAGGTAGACAGAATTTTCGAAAATAATATTTAGTCTATGATGATATTATAGCTTTTTATAAGTGAAATAAGTTTGCAAATTGGGTGAGTAATTTTTAAATTTATCGATTATCAACGAATAAATCTTTCCTTTTATTAATATTAATATAGATTTAATATCTAAAGACAAATACTATATTGAATATTGTAATAAGATTTAACAACTCGTACCATTCTTTTAATCCAAAATATTCTAAGATGTACTCGCATCTTAGAAAACTATACATAATACTCCAATCAAAGAGAAAGACAAAACACTATGCCAAGCCATAGTATTAGTAAACAAATATCCTTTTCGGTTGGGATTAGATCCGTGCCTAATAATAACTCTAACAGGGTGTTGTACCCCGCCAGCAAATACCAAAAGTGTAGGTGGGGTTACCATTTTAAAAAATCAGTTCCTTATTTGTACATAGAAACAAAAAATACTTAACAAAATTTACTACTACATTTTTAATATTTAAAACGGCCTTTTGTAATCCACTCTGTCTTTAACTGTCTCAGGTTTCAACAGTTTTCTATTCATGAAAATAAATAATTTATATGGATCTACCTGCCTTAATCTTGTGTTTAGAACCAAGCTCTAGAATACGAAATGGATATATATTAACGTTTATACATTTTAATGCGAGTTGAATTGTATTTGGTAATATTACTTTACATAAATATTGTGTACTCGCATTATGTTGTAAATTGTTTATTTATTTATTTACAGATTATTTTATTTACAGTTTGTTTTATTTATATTATTTTTCTCTGTACCTTTTCTAAGTATCAGACTTGGCTATTTATTTCACATGTGTTTCACCAAAACAGGAAGAGAATTTTAAATAAAACAAATAGAAGGTGTGGCCGATTAGACTAGACCCAAGATCTACTGTTTACTGACGAAACCCTCTGTAATCTACCAATTACATATTTCTTGAAATCTCAAATGAAACAACATAGTCGAGTACACAATTATGTAGTATAGTAGTATTTTTTATTTCATTTCTTAATGAAACATAAAACGGAAAATTATTCTTAGTACTTGTTTATATTAGTATGAGCATTACATCTGAGCATCTTTCGCTAAATTAGCAATTTTGCTAATATAATATTTATTATATTTTTGTCTTGCCATGATCCACTGGACTAATAGTCGCGATCAGTTCGCCACAGGGATTTGTGGTTCTTAAATAAATTATACTATATTTTATTTAAGAACCACAAAAAGGCAAAATAAAATTCCATCAATTAATTAAAGTTAAAAAATAAAATTAAAAATCATCCCAGACCTTCATTTATTTTTATTTTCTCGTGTGTTAATATATTATTTTTAATTGATAAAGAGTATTTATACATATATTTGTTTTTTACAGAAAAACCTTTAAAAAACTGGCAGGATGAGATGATGGCACGTATTGAATTCGCGGTTGCTTACGGCATCAAACGTGACATTCTCAAATACGGGAATATGTACGTAGCTCTCCGAAAGTCCACGCCTACCAGTTCCTTCTGTGACAATGTTAGCTGCTGGAAGGTTGTTTCTGAAGAAACAAAGAAACATAGGTACCTTAGTTATTTTTTTGTATTGTATCGGCCATTAATTGCCCCCATAAGGGGGGATTTTTGTCAGTAATTGCCACGCTTGGCAGGCAAGTTGGCAACCGCAGTTTGGTTTTTAATGTTTTAAGATGGACTCTGCTGCACATCTCTCGACCATAGCTCCCTTAGTCGCCTCTTATAATATCCACGGGAAAGGAAAGATTGGCGTATTCTATGCCGAGACCTACACGGTTCCTAGTATCTAATCTTAATGAGATTGATACGTGGCATTCTCAGAAAAGGCATAGATCTCTTCAGGGTTGGTAACGCTCACGTGATGCCTGTAGTGTTGCAGACATCCATAGTAAAGTACCTGTATACCATCAAACTGATTGCTGCTGTTAGTCTCTACATGTACAAATTCGTGCAAAATCTACGGAAATGATTTCTCTTACTGGACGGCCACTGATGTGTTAAATTTGCAGCTGTATGTAAATAGTGCCTAATTTTTTTTTTTTATAAATTTAAACGCATTGACAACAGTCTCATCTGATCGTGATAATAGGGTCTAAGTCGTTAGACGCAAACTCAAATAATAACTATATATTATATACAAATAATAATAATACGACTGATCAATTTTGAATAAAGACATACCAAACAAGTTTTTAATTTCAATAAAATACCATACTTCATTGATGCAAGGATTTGATATTAGAAAAGGGTAATATAAGAACACAAACTCGAACTAATACAATCAATGCCATAAATATCGTGTACTATTTTTGTTCATTAATATTATTAAGATGTAACATTGTTCTTTTTTCAGAATGAATTGTCCCGAACATGCATAATACGAGTATATTCCAGTGCCTGGTAAAACATCCTATAGTTTGATAAACTTTTTAATTTACTATTTATTTATTTCAAACATGTTTAAATCTTTTCATAAATTATACAATATTAATTTAGATAAAATTGTAGTGTTAAAATATAATATATTAAATATTTAATTTTACATACATATTTCCTTTTATTACTAAATTATTTTTGTAGATATATTACATATTAATGCACAAATATTTTAATTTCTTATATAATTATGCTAAGTTTAGGTTTCCGTTTTAATCTTACAACCAACATCAAAAATAGATTATTATAACTTATAAACTCTATTGTTTGTTTTATTTCTAAACAGGTAAAAGAGGCAGAATTGAAAAAATATTATAAAATTTCTAAATTAGTCAAAATTATATTCGAATTTTGACAGTTTACAATATTTTTCAATTTAAACATTTTCTACAAATATTTTCAAATCTCTGTAAGTCGTTATCTATATATTTTGAAATTTATTGCCTTCAGATGGAGTTAAAAATCTCCCATACAGGCATATATGCATAAATTGAGTTACGAATATAAATTAAGTAAAAAAATTATGTAAATGTAATGAGAATCTTATTATCTCTATCTACGTCTTTTGGCGCGGTGCTAATTTAACCTACTAATATTATGCGAAAGTTTATAAAGATATTTAAAGTGTTTAATAAATTAAACTTAAATGGCTCAACTGATTTAAAATAGATTTAGCACCCAGATAGATCGTATTCAAGATTAATACCATTTTTATTGTAATGTAAACAATGTCACGCCACATAAGTAAAGAAACATATACAGGATTTCCTCGTCATTATATACAGCTACTCATAGACACTAACAATGATTAAACTATTACGAAAACAATAACACACCAAAGCGAAATATATATAGATAATCTATATTTAACACTTAATGTTAAAATTTACTAGATTAAATAATTCTACAGTGTACTGAGACCATAGACGACACGTCTATAGGCTAAAGAAGGGAATCTACACAACATGTGTTATGTATCAGTTAGAAACAGTTACATAGCTAAATATTCACTTTAAATAGATTTGCATTACAATACCAGGTAAGTTCCACTTATTATAAACTTCCAAGTCTCTCAAGTCAAATCTCTGTTATAGTGAAGCTTGTTTTAGTTAAGTATGAGACTTAAAATAAAATAGATATCTTTAATATTTTCAATAGCAGATCTAAATTATAAAAGTGCAGAAAGCAAGAGATGTATGCAAGGCACCTGATATGAAGATAGATAGATAGATAGAGATTTAATCTAAATTATGAAATCAAATTCCTCTGATATAGAATAAACATTAGCAGTATTTATATTTTTAATTCTTTTCATTTCAATTGGACATGATTTTAATACACTACGTTCGTCATGTGAATACGTTGAAGAAAATAAAACAGTATGTAGGAAAAAAGATTAAAAGACCTATTATCTTAAGCGAAATATGTACACAGTAAGGTATAAATAATATAGATGATTTATAAGGTTAAATCATTATAACATATGACCATCTTTCTAGTCACGATTAAGATAGGTTTTTTTTTAATCATTCATAATAATTAGAGGTTTTTATTTAGGAGTCAGATGCTATACTTTTTTCAAGAGAATTTTTGATATACGAATTAGAAAATATTAATAAGTACCGAATGATCGACATACAAAAATGGGTAAGAGCGAAATGTCAACTGGTAATAACTTAACAATGGCACTATTGAATTTTAAGTTTAGCTTTTTGCCACAGGAGATTCAGATTGAATAGTAAACTCTGAGTGCTTTTCCTGTAATAAAGTTTCAACAAATAGGAATTGAAACTCTATTTTAACTTACGTTTTAAGGAATCGGTCTCAATGAGTTGAAACTTCTTGCGTTTATTTAACCCATTGTGTCATATTCTTTTGTTGTAACTCCAAATGTGTAGGTACTGTTTTTTAAATCATTATCCTCTTACCCTTATCCCAATTATATAAATTTTAGGTTTGGCATAATACGAACACTATCATGAAAGTTATTTTTTTAGATATAATATTTAGATAATATTATAGAGTATACTCGTATAATATTATTACTAATACTTTAAAATAATATATAATTGTTATACCGTTATATAATCGTTAACTGTCCATTGCTGAACATAGCCTCCCACATAGGGGAATTCTGCCAGTAACATAGTGTCACAAACATGGACAAGTCCAGAAAATTTTGTAGTCCATTAACTACAGGTACTGTGTGGTTTCAAAGGAATTTTCTCCCTCGAACGCTCAGGCTGTGGAATGAGCTTCCTACCGAGACCGTATGCTTGTTTGCCACCGCTGTAGCATAAAAGAAAACTAGCAAAGCAAACATAGCAGCCGAATCAGCCGATAATAATGTATTTTAGAATTATCATCCTCGAGTCTAAATTTTCTAAATCGGTTTACAATTGACAGAGTTATGATGTAACAAACTTAAAACATACAATCGAATAGAGAACCTCTTTCTTTTTGAAATCAGTCGAAAATTCAAATGGTTAGATATAGATCCAATACATTTGATATTAGATATTCGATCTTAGAACCTCTGAGATTTGACTTTTGTCCATTTGAACTGTCAGCACTTCATAAACTTTTAACATATTATTTAAATTCTGTAAAAACGAATACGACAACGAAGACGACGATATCCAGTCAATCATACAAATAAATAAGGAAAATGGTAGCAAAACAACTTGCAATAATTTTCCTTGAGTTCTTGCATTAGGGTGACTAGAAATAATATGGGGAACATTGTTTGTACAATACTCGAGACAAACAAAAGCATATTCAACTCATTAATAATTAATAAAAATGAACAAATATGAACAATGCATATATTTAGTTTTTAAAACAAATAATATACTATAACCATTTGCTATTAAAATATAGTAATAAGCAAATGCTGAGAACAGACAATAATCTCTTGTTACTGTTGCTATTATTGTTTGATGATAGGGAAAAAAGTTTATTAACTCTTTGCCCTAATATCAGGCTACAAATACTAAAAGCAGTTGAAACTAGTCTTTGATGATTTTGATCATCATTCCACCTTTAAGTATTTGTTAATAGTATTATTTATATCTGAAATCATTCCTTTTCAAGAAAGTAAAATATTCGATTATTTTCAGATAACCTAAAAAATATAAATTTGAAGATTATTATTTGAAAACTGAAAATTACTATCATATTTAATCTTATAATGACTTTTATATAGGGAAAAATATTCGATTATTTAGATGAGTTAATACTATTTTTTTTTTATATAACTTAGAATGGCAAACAAACTGACGGCCCACCTGATGGAAAGTGGTAACCGTCGCCTATAGATATGAGCAGTACCGTGGACATAACAGAATATACTGTTTCGCCCATGATACCCCCCATGCGTTGCTATTCCTGAGGACTTCCTTATTTCTCTATATTTAATATTTTTGGCTGCTTTGATTTATTTTCCAAATTTAATTTTTTGATTCTTTTTATTGTAATTGAAATTTTGTCGTTTTGTCCATGTCCGTGATTATAATCATTGTGACCTCCAGATATTTTCAGTACCTCTATTTTCTTCTTTATCTATATCGTCTGAACTGATAATCAGCATAAAATATTAAAAAAATAAAAAACTATCTTTAAGACAAATACTATTTTATTATTATTATTATTTTAAAATAAAAGAAAAATAAATAGTCGTGTAAATCAAAACCGTCTCACATTACATTCTACAAAACATTACAAGAAAAACAAAGTTAAATAAATTTTATAGTACCTACTTCAAGCATTAGGAATCCTGATTTTTATTCTACATCTGATTTATGCCATAGGGACAGGATCCGTGATTTCAGCACAAAGGATTACTCACTCGACGGACGAAGATTTTATTGATTGCACCACCCAAGAGAATTCAACAAGCACAACTAGAGATACAAAATGATAACAAAGTGCCTCTTTGTCTGAACGATGATGAAACTATTTTCTTTATATATTATAAATTACAAGCAAAAATAGTTATATAAAAGCACACATAATTTTAAAAATACATACAATATTTGTTTTGTAATATCTAACTACACCAATATATTGGATTAGTTCTTGTTCCTAAAATAATAAATTCAATTTTTTTTTTCTTAAAAATACTGTTTACTATAAATTACAGGGAATGTAAATAAATTTACACATAATTTATCCTTTAAACTTGTAATAATTCACTAGAAAATCAGAAATGCATTTTTACGTTTTTTTCTTACTTATTATATTTTCATTTATTTCAACAGTGACCATAATATGCGGCTTGATACACCTAAATTTTACTAACAAACTACTCTTTGTGTATCTAGGATATAATCTAAGTTTATACCAAATATAATTTAAATCCATTGAACGTTTAAACGTAAATATTAGAACTTAATATTCAAATGTCTTCAGCTACTATTTGCAATAAATATTCCAAAATCTATTCATCCAAAAAAACTGTACATTCACATTTATAATAATAGTAAGATTTTGTTAGGATTTATAAGAATATTTATCGTTCCCTTTAAATTTGACTTGAACAAACCATCGCTGCAATCATTAGCGATTCCACTCAAACAAAACTTGTCACAATCCCGCGGCGTTAGCGGGATTGGACCGGATTACCCTCTGTTTAGCCAAAGTCAGGTGAATTACAAACGAAACCGAAGAATACCGATCACGGTAAGCGGAATGATAAACAAAGGGCGCAGCTGTCGCTAACAACAGCAACAAAAATAAATAAAGCGAGAGAAAATAAACAAAGCCAAGTTTTATTTGTGGGAAAACCATTAGGGGATCAAAACGAGGTTTGTGGATCAGATAAATGAAAAATATTGAAAATTGTGGGATGGTTAGTTTACCTCGTGATTTAATTGTAAAAATAAAAAGATATATATTTTTTATACTACTATTTTTTATAAGCAAGCTGTTCGAAAATGATAAGCATTTTTAGCGTAGACAATATAATAGACAATTTAAATTATAAATACGTTATGCTATGTTTATGGTACATACCATAGATTTAATGAGCTATGTGTTATACTTTAAAGTTACTCATCTGTATTACATTTTTTTGTGGATTACATCTTAAAACTTAAAATATACACTCAGTTGGAAAATTTATCCTTTTAAAATTCTCAAATGCAAAGTTACCAAACATTTATTTCGTATTCAATCTGTTTGAACGAAACTCTTTTTGATAACTTCCTTAAAAAATATAGTCTGTCATTTAACCATTGGAAGTTTTTCAACGAGTTGCCTTGACTTTTATAACAAGTATAGTTTTGAAGAATCTTATTTTTATTTTTATTTACAATAAATTTAATAATTTTCATTACAGAATATGGTGTGGCCTACTGAATTTGATAAAAAATTAAATGAAGTGAGTATTAGTTTCTAATCAATATTAGGACGAATTCTTTTTTATCCTTAGAATCTTATAAAAGACAATAATCGTCAAATAGATTGTAATGGTGAGTAGCACATACAAATTATAATTATCCTATGTCCGGGGGGAAAGGGATTGTTAGCAATGGAGTTCAATATTGCTAGCAATATACCCTATCAGGTCGACCTCCAGGTGGTTCCCCCTGGAAACCATCGTAAACAATTCTTGTTGAATTCGTCACGATGGGCTAACTGACCCGCTTCATCCTCATCCCTCACTAGTGCCCTGCCGGTGTATACCAACAGCGCTGGTGGGGTAACCATTCCATTATCATCCATTAAAAAAAAATATCGTATGTCCTAAGTTAAAATATAAGCTATCCGTGTGCCAAATCATTTAAAACTGTTCAATAGTTTTTACTTTTTATTTATGCAACTAAGAATGGCAAACAAGCTGGTGGAAAGTGGTAACCGTCGACTATAGACATGAGCAGTACCAGTAACAGAGTATACTGTTTCGTCCATTATACTCCCCATGCGTTGCCATTCCTGAAGACTCAGGTGTTATTCCTCTGTACCCTGTAAATTAACTTATTTACGTGAAATAGTAACAAACATCGTTTCACATTTATAAGAATAAAAGCAGTAGCAAATATAATTTTTCTTATATTACACAAGTTGCTAGTGAAATCTCGTGATCAGTCCTGGTGGAACAATAAATAAATTTAATAGTATCTACTATATTTAGTTGCTTATTTGTATTGCATCGTCATATCCTCCCATAACTAACAAACTTGGAGCAAAGCGCATATACATCAAAAAATAAAAACTAAACAAAGCTAAATTGCCAGGTTGTAATAATGGACTCTGTCTTATGCAATGAAATGGTAGCATTATTTGGTTGTTATAGTATCTGATATAATGTATAAATGTTCAAGTATGATGCAATGGAGTTACCAGGACAACAGCTTCCCGCAGCAAATGCGTACACACCGTTGGACCATGTACTGAATTTGGACATTAAATCTCCACCTGGATGTCAAAGACTAACTGGCATTTTTGCTACAATGGGTAATATTTCTTTCATTTATACAGTTTCTCTTAAAATTATGTATCACAATCATATTAACCGCCTAGTTGGTTTTCAAGCTAGTATACCTTGTGCTATAAAGAGCCAGACAACGAAAATCTTTAAAATTGATAGATTAATGTCATAGATATCACCTAACTTGCGGTAGGCAAATGTAAATAGGCTGTTTATGATTTATTTCTACATCTATATAACTATTTATCACGCAAAATTGTAAGAAAAACTTGATCAACTTTTCTCTAAGCATTTGTATGAAGACACTCTATCTATATGATTAAGATTTAAGGTCAGAGAGTTTACTATGATGGATGGTTATCGCATAGTATATTCACAAGTCTATTTTTATAAGCCTAAAAATCTACTAGTCCATATAACACTAGTTGCGTATTCATGGATTTGAGAAGTAGGAAAACCAATTAAATAGTCCACCACTTCATAACGTAACAGAAAAAATATATAACATCAAATTTTAAGTTAGACATTCAGCCGCACAACTGTGAAAATGGCACACAATTTCGTGCAATAGTCTTTGCAGACAGACAGACAAAAGTTAAGTCCCGGTAGTGTACTTAAAAAAGACACAAAATTCTTAAAAATATTGTTTTGATATCTATCTATTATACGACAAGACGTCATATTTTTCTTCAATATTTCCCAAGTACAAATAATATCTAATTACAATTTTTTTACATTAATAAGATAGATGTTGTTGACCTATATACATTTTGCACTTAACATGATTTTGCATACGTGTCTGTTGCCAAATATCTATGATTTTGATGCCAAATGAGAATATAAAGTATCAACTAATTAATGTAAACTACAAAATATCAATTACATGCAATATGTTGTTCTTATGGTAATGGTGATAGGGATGGATTCGCCTTCTTACTCTATTACACTTATATTAATTATATATTTGACAAAATGTGAACATCTCGAGTACTTACAACGGTGACAGGAATTACAGTTATGAACATATTTATTTATTTTTATTAAGTAGATAACATCAAGTAATATTGAACCAAATTCATAATAAAATTAACTATACCTTAGTGCATATCTATTAATAAAATATCGATGTCTGTCATGGCAATAGCACCTAATATACTTTAGATCAATACGAGAATAAATCACCTATCGATTAAAAAACATTAATCATTAGTCATCGCATAACACATACACAAAAAGTTACAGTTTTTTTATGTATTACTCGTACGTGTTGTTTTTGCTCAATCATGAATCAATTTCATCGTCATCATATCAGCCTTTAATTATCCACTGCTTAACATATGCTTCCCCAGAGGGATGGAGGGATACTGCCAATAGTTACCACGCTTGACAGGCTGGTTGGCAAATGCAGTGAGGCTTTGGTGATGTTTTTAGAAGGACGCTGCTGTCCATCCCTCGACCATTAAGTTTCCTTAATTGCCTTTTACGACATTCACGGTAAAGAAAGAAGTGAAGAGTTCTATATGACCTTTTATTATGTTTTAATTTAATAAGTTAAACTATTCAAATTACAGTTTCTATGTTTAGAAAGTACCTAATAGTTATAAAGTATTGTGACTACATTTTTTAAATTAAATTTAATATTTCTGCGTCCTAACTTAATATAAAAATTATGAAATATATTTTTAATAATATTTTTATACACCAGGAAAATCAACAAACGATGTAGAAACTATGGAGAAAATGATCGCATCTGGCATGAATGTTGCTGTGCTGAACTTATGTTACGGCTCGAGGGAAGAACATGTCGAGACAATAAAGATGCTTAGACAAGCAGCAAAGAATTACAGTGCTAAGATGGGAAGGAATTATCCTCTAGCCATTGCTACTAGATTAGCCGGTAGGAAAATACGAACTGGCCGTATAGCAGAAGTATGTAAAGCATTAATAATTCGTCATTAATTAATTTATTTATAGAAGATACACTAACAATATTCTTTCTTTATTCTTTATTGTACACAAACACAATGTTAAGAACAATTAATTTTAAACGTAATGTATAAGGCGAGCTTATCTCTAATAAGAGATTTGTTCCAGCAAACCTTTTCAAGTGAATTGAATTGTTATTTGAAAATAAAAAAATAGTATATGCATAGTATATGTTCACAATAGTTAACAGACTAGGTACAATGCTATACGTAAGCTTAAGGCTAAATGAACATATCAATTGGATGCGTATACAGCTCTCACAGCTAAGTGTTAATTTATACTAAGGTAACAATCATACAATTAGTGAAAACTTAATTATTAATCTATCATCTTGATGATTGTGATCATCAATTTTCACCATTAACCATAATCATTCTCTATAAACTGCTTATTGCCTGTATATAAAGACTGACCCTAATACAAGTACACGCAATAATTCTCTGTAACACATCGAGGTCTTCGCTTCATCTAGTAAACTAGTAAACGGTAAATTCACTGTGTTTTCCTTTATGGAGTCGAGAACATTTCTGCTCCATCGATTATCAGTTATTTGAGTTATATGGCTGATTTATTTTGAATTTGACTTGGCGATTTTTCGAACTACATCAGTCACTTTCACTCTTTTACGAATACCCTGATTTCGAATACAGTACGCAACAAAATTTCAAGCATTCTCTGTAGCTCATTAAAATATAGGACTTTTTTTAAATTAAAAATGCTGTCAAAAGAAAGAGACAAAACACTGTTTAAAAGTTTTATGAATGAACTGCACTGAAATACACTATTAATTTTCACTGCATGGTTTTTTTACACTCTTTTAATTCGATACAAATTTCAAAAAAGAGTTTAAATTTGCAATGCACATTTATCATCTACGACTACTGGTATATGACTATTCAATTATAATGTTTATATTTTTATTTATTTTTTATTCTAGAGTTACGGTGAGACCGTAGAGTTAAAAACAGGTGAAGTGGTTAGAATAACTACAGACGAAACCTATCGAGAGAGATGTTCTACCTACACTGTATATGTAGACTTTATATATTTTGCTGACCAAATATCCAAAGGAGATTATATTTTACTAGATAATGAAACGATTATGTTAAAAGTCGAAATGATTTCAACTTCGACTTTAACATGTAAAATTGAAAGAGGCGGGTTTTTAGGATCGTACAAAGATGTGTTTGTTCCTAATGTAGTATTTAATATGCCTAATTACTCTGACAGAGATAAGTTAGACATTGAAATGGCAGTACGTCATCAGGTATCTGTTTTATTTATTTATTCTAAATAACATAATAAGAGTAGCAACTATTTTAAAATGCTTTTTCATAAAACTAGCTTTAAAATAAAAATTTGTAATAGAAACATTACGATTTATATAAATTATGAATTTAGCTTATAGTAATTTTTAAATCAGTGATTTTACTGTAAAATTTATTATTAAAATTAAAATTTTAGAAATAAAGAATGACATTGTAATTGCAACAAAATGAACACATTCATTAATTTACAAGCTATAAATTATAATTGTTACTTTTATTTTTACTTCAGATCGATATAATCATAGCCTCCTTTGTCCATTCGCCTGTAGCAATAACAGAACTCCGAAGTTTATTAGGTGAAAAAGGGAAAAAAATTGCAATAATTGCTAATATTCAAACTATTGAAGGTTTCCGTAACTTTGATGATATACTTGCTGTAAGTTAAATTGATAATAAATTTACAAAACATCAAATCATTGTTGAATAATAGCTATCTTGAGTATTGTATTGTAATTATTTATACCGGCTAAACCATTACCAACGCTGCCGACCACATGAATGCAGAGAAAGAGAAAAACAGCTCGCTGGTCCCGTAATGCTGCTCGCAGCATAACCGTGAACCGCGCTGATTAATAAGGGTTTGGCATATTGAGTTCGAAACTAGTCGGGCATCCCCGAAATTAAGACATGAGCAAAGCCGACATAAATAACCACAATACTAAACGATTTATTGAATTTCTAACTAGTTAATATTCCAAATTTTTGTAGGTTACAAATGGCATAATGATAACTAGACAAGAACTTGGCTCTGACATCACGCCAAAAAAATTAGTGATAGCTCAGAAAAACATGATAGCTCGAGCAAATATAGTAACGTATTCAAACAAATTTCTCTTAAATTAAAGCCGCTAAAATATAGCCAATATAGTCGAAAAAAAATGTTTTTTGTAGTGCAATGTACCAGTAAGCGTAAGTGCTCACCTACTGAGTAGTATGAGATATAAGAAAATCCCACTTAGAGCTGAACTATTGGATATAGCCAATTGTATCCTAGACGGAGTTGATGCTCTAGTACTCTCTGCAGAGACTGCAGTAGGTCAATACCCAACAGAGACAGTTGCATGCTTAGCCAGTTCTTGTAAAGAGGCTGAAGCGTGTGTTTGGACAAAGCAAATATTTCATGATCTCATTGATAAGGTATAAAATCTTATATTTCAAACAATAGGTACTTTTGTATACAACTTTTTCGTTAAACAAGTTGATGGCCTACTATTGGAAACTCATAAGCATCCACCATACACATCACTATGTTGCACATATTAGTACATCGTTACTATTCCTGAGTACAATTTACACATCACTAAAATAAATCAAGTGATATAATTCATGTTCAATATTAAAGGAAAAATGGTTATAAAAATAAATTTGACAGGTATGTTTTTTTTTCTGAAATGGACATTAAAAAGGTATCCAGACACGATCAACTTAAAATTAAATTGTTCTTTTTTATAATTTTATGGCATTCAATGTTATGATGTAAATTTCCACCATTATGCAAAGAAGGGTTAAAACTACAATGTTCTCCGTTATTTTAAACAATTCGCAATAAGCCAAAAGAAACTTGAAATAAATTCTATATTTTGATGTTTATTATATAAATGTATTCTTATAATATCATAATTTTATATAATTCAGTCTAAACAACTTTTTTTATTTCTCAGACCTCCTTGCCTTGTGATCAAGCTACAGGTTCTGCATTAGCTGCTGTCTTAGCAGCACAAAGAACAATAGCTGCAGCCATAATAGTGATCACTACCACTGGCAAGTCAGCTCAGATAGTTGCTAAATACAGACCTAGATGTCCAATTATAGCTGTAACTAGATATGCACCCATTGCTCGTCAATTACACATGTGGAGAGGAATCATACCTCTTATTTACGAAGGTTAGTCAAATTTACTTATATAATAATAAACTAGTCAATCCAACAACTAAATTTCAACCCACAGTAAAATAATCAAAATGATAAAGATATACCTTTTTTAGCATCATCAAACTAAAGCAAAGTCAGTCAAAGGTATCGACCATAATCATGTATGAAACTGAACAATTTATCCCAAAAACAATAATCAGAATATGAAAATATTTTTTCAACCTTTTACACTAAATCGTAAGACCTACGTGAATATTCCAAAAATTCTTTTAATTTTTCTAATTTTATCTTTGGGGAAAGTTTTTTAGTTTCACGACTAACCCTGTGTAATAATGTTTTCATAGATATAGTAAGTAATATTAACTATTTAGATTATTTCAAATTGCGTATCCTTTCCTGATGATTCCAGTAAATGACCATATTATATTTACAGTATGTATACGATACAACACCTAAGTTCATACGAGTATTATTGTTACTTCAGAAAATCGAAGGAAAAGGTCTAAATAACACAATATTTATTAATATACCATTTGATAATTACCTTTATGTATTCATTTTAGATTCACCCGACACAGATTGGTCAATTGACCTAGAAAAGCGGTACACCTTTTGCATGAAATGGGCCATGGAACAAGGCTTCATCAGGATCGGGGATCCAATCATATTAGTATCTGGTTGGAAACAAGGATCAGGTTACACGAATACAATGAGAATTATATATGCGACAGCAGATATCATTGTTCTATGATTGTAACTTATAACTCATTTATTAATGATAATCATCGCTACATATAATTCTATTGTTCATTTGTAATCACAGCTATTTAAAATTTTTCTTCGTAATGTTATTAAAGTAATATATGTTGGTTTTCCTTTTTATATTTTATTATTGAATCTAAGTGTCTAAATATTTTTTGCAAATAATATGAACGCTGTCCATAGAAACTTCAAATGAGTTCATATTGTATAAAGAGACTACACTATAGCTAAATGATGCAACATGCTTAGAGTTACAGTTGAAATGAAGATACCCGAGAATTATTATAACACTGATATAGATCTACGAAAAATCTAATGATATTTAAGCTAAATAGTAAAGAAAGTAACAAATTAACATCTGTGAGACAAGAGTACGATAATACAAAGTAGGCGAATTATGTACTATAATAGTAACTATTAGTTCCACAGCGAAAGGCATCGCATCTATCTTTCCCATATAATAAGTAAATTTTCCGACCATTATTACAATGATTTAATACAATAATGCAGTTTATTTTAAATAAAACATTTTATTAAAAAAATGCAATTGGACCATTTTAAATAAGAGAAATTTGAATTCAACATGACTCATCTAAATTCATACAAAATCGCTTTGACCACAATTTATGGGCTGATTCGAAATAACGTCACGAAACGTTCAAGTGAAGGCAATGGCTAAAATGATCGGCATCAAAGGGTTAACTCCGATGGCCGACGAACCAATTTGCACAGCTCTGAGGTGCCCAAATTGAATTGATGTAACTACGCTCTTACGGCTAACAGTGTCGTGAAGTTCATCATATACATAAATGTATTCTGTAGGTTTGTGATTCCACGCAAGCAATGTAGAATTGATGATAGTATTGTTTATCTATAATATATTTATATTATTGTTTATCTTTATCAAACAAATGGCAAGAAAATAAGTGATCACATATAGGTACCTCTTGAAATACAGAAATAGTATGATTTTTACTTAAAGTATTTAAATTTGGTACGGTGTAGTTACAGTGTATTTAAGTAAATGCAATTTTAAATATAAATATTGCTAGACTGCTTTTAAAATAGTTCTTATCTTGAAAAAGTATGTACATTTTTAAAGGAAAATAATTGCTCGCCTCAATATTTGCATGGACGTGTTATGAAGAAAAATATACCAAAGACGCAGATTTTTTAACCCAAATTCACTTTCTTGATGGAGATTTTTTAAATCAATTTCACTTTTTAATACTATTTTTCAAATATATTCTTTCATACAAACTTTATTGTAACAATTACAAATACAACAAAAATAAATAACCAAATAGGTGCAACCTTTCTGAAGTGGCACGCAAATATTCTCGTCAAATGGTTTGATTACTGGTATTATCTCAAGCGCAAATCCATTCCATTTCCATCCATTTATATATATAAAATATCTACAACAATGTAACGGCATGTTAACCAAATTATTTTTTTTCTATGGCATCTCATCACAATAAAAAACAATAAACTCCTTGATCAATAAAGTTTTCATTACAGTACATACAATGTAATCTGCTAAGATAATCAGTTAAAAAGATTCGGACAAAGTTGCTTTTACATGAATCGATGTTTTAAATAAACAAGAGTTACTAAATAAAAATTTAAATTATTATAATCTATCGAACTATTCGAGTATATATTATATTCTATATATTTATATATGCATATAAAAAGTAGTAACCATCGCCTATAGACAAGAAGAGCAACATGGATAGGTACGAATACATCAGAATGTATTAGAACACACATGGTACCTTATTTATTTAAATTAGTGTGGTCCCGGCTTAAAATGGGCCACCCCTTTCTTTCTCGTGGGTATCATAAGAGGCAACTAAGCGAAAAATCGAAAGATGATCAGCAGCGTTCTTTTTAAAACATTACCAAAGCCTAACTACGGTTGCCAATTCACCTTCGTGGCAACTACTAGTAAAATCCGCCAGTACCGGAGTCCTATGTTCAACAGTGGACCAGTTAACGGCTTATATCATATCAAATCAATATAATATGATTCCATATTTATCGATAATTTCGTCCTACAAACTGAAACACGGCCATAAAAAAGCAGGTGTTTACAATTTACAAACACGAACACCAATTGTACATGGAACTGACGTATCCATGCAAAGAACTTTGTACAATCTCCTTCTGAAAATTAATTATGTAGTTATGTAATATGGCATACAAAATCTTAGCTAGTATTATACAGGTATCTGAATAAGTTCAGACGAGCTTTAAACGCTAGATGATAAAACAGGTAAATTCTAAATGATACCGTAACTAACTTGTAACAAAGGCATATTGTCTGAAACGGACGCAATTACTCGGTAGTGGACAGTGGCCATTGCCGGCAATGTTGAAGCTTCACTGGCTTCAGGTAGAAGACAACTCACAAAGGCATCCTTCCTAAGGTGTCCTCAAGTTTAACGATTCCAATTTTCCATAGTTCCACTATTATGAACTTACAGATGTATCTTTTAAATCGTGCTGATACTCATATATTATGGCTTTGTCTTCGTGAAAAATGGACATGATTTTTTTTATATTACGAAGTTGGCAAACAAGCATACAGACCCTCTGATAGTAAGCGATCACTGTAGTCTATGGACGACCGTAAAACTAAAGTTGTCACGTGGTTATTGCCAACCCTAAAAAACATTAATATATCCTTTTTGAAGAACTCCATATTGTAAACTATTTTTGTTCTAATTTGTTCAAATCTGTTCCGCCGTATAAACGTGATTGAGTGGTAAATATCTAATTATATTTACAACTTCTCACTTAAATATAATATTACTAGGAAATATTATCATCTTTGCTTTATTTCTGTTTTATTATTTAGCGTAAATGCATATATATATGTACATTTGTTCGATAACAAATACACATATAATTTTATATTCATTGTTTAGCGTCAGCTACGTAATTTCTTTACCATGCGAAAAAATGTTGGATGTTCTACAATTATTTAATCTTACACAGATTTCATAAGAATTCAATTGACTAAATACTCAAAAACTCTTTAAAATACTTTTTTCTCACTTCCACAATTGACTGAATTAATAATATTCTTTTTTCGACAAGTATTTAATTCATTTAAAATGGCCAAGTTAAAAATATAATAGCTAAGAAACAAAATATTTTCATCTACAGTAAATAATTCAAAACCACAACTTAAAACTCATTGGAAATTTGAGTAATATAAAATCAATAGAACATGAACGATAAATTGTCCTAGAATATTTTCGAAGTCAAAGTTTTGAATTTTGAACATTATTAAACATAATAAAAACACCTTTAAAAAAAACGTAATAAAATGATAAGCACTTTTCCTACATATTGTATTCATGTGAATACCAGTTAAAAAACCTTAAAGCAAAAGGAATACATTACAAAGTTGTTTCCCGAATACCTGCATTGGATCGGACGTCCTCGATGGGGATTTTCAAAGTTGGCTCGTTTGTAAATAAGTCTCGTCACTTTGATCCAATTATCGGCTCGTCACATTCAATTTTTTGCGATGTAGTATTCCCAAAGGAATATTAAATCTGATTTAATGTTTGAGCGCAGAACTTCAAATGGTATTTGATACGATAATAATGAATTGAAAACAAACTTTTGTACGTAAACAATCTTTTTTCATTTTAGCCATTTTACAAGCTTTTATTTTATTGTACGTTTTTTTGTTCAATTTTCAATTTATTTTACATTCTTTTCAACTGACTTCAAAATGAATTCTTAATTCAACTGTATTTTTTATAACTGTCAGTTGTAACTGTAGGTATAGCTACTTACATATTGGTCCCATAGAAATTTTATCAAAATCGGTTCAGTAATTTAGAAGTAGATTTTTGTGTAACACAATTTAACTATTGCAAATTGGCTTAATTATGCAAGTTTAGTGATAATACAATTATCATTGAGAATCATCATCATCATTGAGAAAGTTTGATGATAAAAATGGACGGTAGCGAGTTCTTATAAATTTGTAAACTACACGTGATAAATGCATCGTGTTTGGGCTCGTTTGATTTGCCTTGATGAAAGTATAACTCTGTATAGTAACCAGAGTCTGACGACGAAGTTGTAAGACTATAAAACATTGTTTTTTTAAATATTTTGTAACACACTTGTTTTCAATATATTATACTTGTTACTTAATATATATATACAGAAACTTAATAGCTATATTATAAACATATCCAAATCCTCAGCAAAATTAAAAATCATCATTACGATGAAAACTAATTAATAATTGCATCATTAACTAAAAAATTACGATAATGTTAAGCAAAGAGTTCTAGTACAACCAAAACACGATGTTACTCACAAATAAATAACAAGCAAACAAAATATAAAGTGAGAGCAAAATAAAAAATCCACAAATAAAGGTAGCGAACAACGCTTTCGGAGGCATCAAGTCGAGATGGGCGCCTAAATTGTAATGTTTACAAGTTAAATTAGATGAGGGCTGTGAAAGTTGTTCATAATGTAAGAACTCACCTCTCTGCGGCCGTTTGTAGATTACGAACAATTTGTTCTGCAAGATATTCACGGCTTCTTTCGCGACAATGGCCGCTTCCTTAATTTGATTTTAGGCGGCAAAGGAACAAATTAGAAATGAGTTCGTTTTTGCATTTTCTAAACATTTTTGGCTTTACATCTTCATTTAGATGAATAATAAAGTAAAACGATTAGTCTTATTAAAAAAATAATATGAATTATTAATTATTCTATTTTCAAATCATTACTTGCGAAATATGTAAGAATATCTAAACTTGCACATAAGAATCTAAAAGATAATTATAAATTCATTATAATCGATAAGATATCCTTACTAATATTATATTATAAATGTGAAAGTGAATTTGATCCATGCCGTGTTGTTCCGGCATTGAATGGACCACCCCTTCCTTCTCTCTGGGCGACTAAAGAAATTTAATAGTTGAGGAATAGGCAGCAACGTCTTTCTTAAAACATAATCAAAGCCTAACTGCGGTTACCCCCACTTACTAAACGCAACTGCAACTGCAAAAAAGCAACTGCTGGCAAAACCCCCGCAATAGGAGGAGGCCTATAGTTAGCAGCGGACAGATATA